ACCAATGAATATCTGGTGCAGTAGACAATGTAGTACTCATTTATTTGTTTATTTACTGTATTTGTATACCGCCCTTCTCAGCCCTCAGGCGACTCAGGGTGGTTTACAGAGGCAACAATTCAATGCCCAATACATCATAAAACATTTAAAAGCATGAACATATAATATAAAGTCATAACAATAGTATTAAAAACATACATCAGTTACATCTCCTAATAAAAACAATGTCCAATTTCAGCATCCAGTCGTTCCAATACCTATGTCATCATATTGAAAAGAAGAGAAAAATGCCTTTTTTAATCAAACATGGAAGTCACGTACATACATGTTTCTCATAGTTTTATTTCCTTTTCTGTTTTGTTATCTATTTGAATTTTTCCTCTCTAGTTTTCTGTTGGTCAAATTCTCATTTAGCCATGATGTACCTGGGTGACTTGAGACCGGATTCCACCTTTCAGGGATATTGTGAGGATAGTGCATCCTTGGAGTAAAAGCAAAAGATGTATTTAATAGCCTAAATCCATTTATTATGCCCAACTAAAGCAGATCTACAGAATCAAGGCAACCTACATAAAACATGTATTGTCAAAGGCTTTGTGGAGTTATAAACAGCGACTCCAATTTCAAACAACTGAATTGTTTTCCAGTGTGATCCAAGTTAGCCTTGTTTCTAAACTGTCAATCAGGGTTCTGAAATCATATAGCGGGATTGTGAGGAGGGTGTCAGAGGGGTCGCCAAAGAACATCAGAAAACACAGTATTTTCTGTTGGTCATGGGGGTTCTGTGTGGGAAGTTTGGCCAATTCTATCATTGGCGGGGTCAAAATGTTCTTTGATTGTTGAACTATAAATCCCAGCAACTGCAACTCCCAAATATCAAGGTCTATTTTCCTCAAACTCCATCAGTGTTCACATTTGGGCATATTGAGTATTCGTATCAAGTTTGGTCGAGATCCATCGTTTGAGTCCACAGTGCTCTTTGGATGTAGGTGAACTACAACTCCAAAACCCAAGGTCAATGTCCACCAAATCTTTCCAGTATTTCCTATTGGTCATAGGGGTCCTGTGTTGTTATTATTATTATTATTTGGGGTTCTTTTACCCCGCCCTTCTCACCCCGAAGGGGACTCAGGGCGGCTTACAAAAGCAAGGCACAATTTGATGCCTGCATCATAAAAACAATCAAACACAAAATTACATCAATACACAGTAACACCAAATATACATTATAACCATAAAATCAATAAAATCAATAAAACCAAATACAAACCCAGTTCCTCCTCTTACATGGTCAGCGTTCGCTACTCATAGATCTAGTTTTACGTTCCACTTCATCAATCCTGCTGGTCTTACTCGCCTGGTTGTCTGATTTAATTGCCGGAGTGCCCAAAGGCCTGGTCCCATAACCAAGTCTTCACCCTTCTCCTAAAGGCGAGGAGGGATGATGATGCCCTGATTTCCCCCGGGAGTGAGTTCCACAGGTGAGGGGCCACCACTGAGAAAGCCCTGCTCCTCGTCCCCACCAGCCTCACTTGTGAGAGTGGTGGGGTCGATAGCAGGGCCTCCCCAGATGATCTCAGACTCCGAGGTGGGACGTAGAGGGAGATACGTTCGGACAGATACACTGGACCGGAACCGTACAGGGGTTTGTAGGTCAAAACCAGCACCTTGAATTGTGTGTTGGAAATCTGGCCCAATTCTATTGATGGTGAAGTTCAGAATACTATTTGATTTTAGGTGAACTATAAATCCCAGCAACTACAACTCCCAAATGACAAAACCAATCCCTCCCCAACCTTACCAGTATTCAAATTTGGGCATATCAGGTATTTGTGCCAAATTTGGTCCAGTGAATAAAAATACATCCTGCATATCAGATATTTACATTGCGATTCATAACAGTAGCAAAACTACAGTTAATAAGTAATTTTATGGTTGGGGGTCATCACAGCATGAGGAACTGTATTACGGGGTCACAGCATTAGGAAGGTTGAGAAACAATTATCTACGCAATAGAATTAATGCAGTTTGACACCACTTTAACTGCCATGGCCAAGTCCAAAATAGAGTGACACCATTATTGATTATATCTTTAGTCCAGCCAAATAGAAATGGAATTCAATTGTATTAGCTTTGGCACATGGAACAAAATGGGGCATTGCCTTCCCATTAATATTCAGTCTCCCCAGTGAAATGGTAGAGAGGAAGAATTGCATAGTTAGGAACCTGGAAGACTAAGGTTCAAATCCCTGCTTAGCCATTGAGACCATGGGTAGGTCCCTCCGTCTCAGAGGAAGGCAATACAACACACACACACACACACACCCTGAATAAAGCATGCCAAGAAACACATGATAGGTTTGCTTATCAGGTTAGAAACTCAACAAAAACAACAAAATTAAACGTTTCATTGCTGGACGGGATTTTTCCTGAGGTTTGTTGCTGTTGTTGTCTTTGTTGTGTGCCTTCAAGTGATTTCCAAAGTATGGCAACACTTTCACTGGGCACTTTTGGCAGCATTTATTCAGAAAGGATTTGCCATTGCCTTTCTCTGGAGAGGAGAGAGTTAGATTTGCCCAACATCATCCAATAGTTCAGCAATGCTCCATAGTAAGTCAATGCTCAGACCACCAAACTATGGTGGCTCCTTTGCCTACGTATTTGGCAAGCCAGATCCTATCAGATCTTGGAAGTTAAGCAGGGCCAGGCATGGTTAGCGTTTGGATAGGCAATCGCTGCAGAATAACAAATGCCGTAGACGATATTTCAGAGAAAAGCTGGAGCAGTTCTATTCTGAACCTTCTTTGCACAAATAATTCTATAAAACGTATGGAACCACCAAAACCACAAACGCATGGAACCACTTTGCATGTTTAGCCTGACTGGGCATGTTTAGCCTGAAGAAGAGAAGGCTGAGAGGAGATATGATAGCCATGTATAAATATGTGAGAGGAAGCCACAGGGAGGAGGGAGCAAGCTTGTTACTGCTTCCATGGAGATTAGGACGCGGAACAATGGCTTCAAACTACAAGAAGGAGATTCCATCTGAACATGAGGAAGAACTTCCTGACTGTGAGAGCCGTTCAGCAGTGGAACTCTCTGCCCCGGAGTGTGGTGGAGGCTCCTTCTTTGGAGTTTTAAACAGAGGCTGGATGGCCATCTGTCAGGAGTGCTTTGAATGCAATATTCCTGCTTCTTGGCAGGGGTTGGACTGGATGGCCCATGAGGTCTCTTCCAACTCTTTGATTCTATGATTCTATGAAAAGGTGACAGGTAATTTGAAGGCACATTTTGGGTGTTATAGTTATTATCATTTCTACAGCTGGAAAATAAAACCAAAACGTCTAGAACGCCAAATCTCTGAAAACTGGTCTATCTATGCATATAATAAAAGTGAAAATAATAATAATAATAATAATAATAATAATAATAATAATCTTTATTTGTACCCCGCTACCATCTCCCCAAGGGACTCGGTGCGGCTTACATGAGGCCAAGCCCAAAGTACATCAAACAAAACATCAATAAACACAACATCAATAAACAATCAATAAAATACAAATCATATAAATCACATAAACAAAAACAATCAATAGTGACATAAACAATTTTTAAAATGGCCAGGCCAAATGTAATAGATTAAAATTGATTAAAATCAAAGCAGGCTATCTCGCTGAGTCTGCACTGCCATTTAATCCAGTTCAAATCAGATAATCTGGATTTGATTATCTATTATCAAGTCTAGTCTTGGGGTGCATCTACACTGTAGAATTAATGCAGTTTGATACCACTTTGACTGCCATGGGTCAGTGCTAGGTAATCTTTTGAGGCCCCTTCTACACAGCCATATAATCCAGATTATCAAAGCAGACTATCTCGCTGAGTCTGCACTGCCATTTAATCCAGTTCAAATCAGATAATCTGGATTTGATTATCTATTATCAAGTCTAGTCTTGGGGTGCATCTACACTGTAGAATTAATGCAGTTTGATACCACTTTGACTGCCATGGGTCAGTGCTAGGTAATCTTTTGAGGCCCCTTCTACACAGCCATATAATCCAGATTATCAAAGCAGACTATCTCGCTGAGTCTGCACTGCCATTTAATCCAGTTCAAATCAGATAATCTGGATTTGATTATCTATTATCAAGTCTAGTCTTGGGGTGCATCTACACTGTAGAATTAATGCAGTTTAATACCACTTTGACTGCCATGGGTCAGTGCTAGGTAATCTTTTGATACCCCCTCTACACTGGAATATAATCCAGATTATCAAAGAAGACTATCTACCTGAGTCTACACTGCTGTATAATCAAGTTCAAATCAGATAATTTGGATTTGATTATCTATTATCAAGTCTAGTCTTGGGGTGCATCTACACTGTAGAATTAATGCAGTTTGGTACCACTTTGACTGCCATGGGTGAGGGCTAGGTAATCTTTGGAGGCCCCCTCTAAAGGTAGGTAAAGGTAGTCCCCTGACATTAAGTCCAGTCATGTCTGACTCTGGGGTGTGGTGCTCATCTCCATTTCTAAGCCAAAGAGCCAGCGTTGTCCGTAGACACCTCCAAGGTCATGTGGCCAGCATGACTGCAAGAGGCCCCCTCTACACTGCCATATAATCCAGATTAACAGTGTGGACTCAGGCCCCTTCTGCACTGCCATATACAATCCACATTATCTGCTTTGAACTGGAATATGTGAGTCTAAGATGTCACATAATCCAGTTCAAAGCAGATAATCTGGATTGTATGTGGCAGTGTAGAAGCGGCCCAAGTTGTAGTTTGGTGAGACACTAGCGCTATTCAGTACAGAAGGCTAAAAGCCTTGTAAAATGGCAACTCCATCCATTCCACAGCATTGAGCCATGGCAGTCAAAGTGGTGTCAAACTACATTAATGTTACATTATACATGTACCCTTGGTCCCAATTCCCTAGACAACATTTGGAAAGAGCCAATGCTATGGGTTTGCAAGTTTGCACCAAGTTCAGTTTCTCACCTTGGCGTCTTCCTTGCCACAGGGTTCAAAGCATCTCCCCTGAAATCCCAGAAGCCCTCCACAGCTTCCAAAGAGTCTTCTAAGCTCTTGATAAGGGCTTTTTCATCTGACAAAGTCACTTGTCTACTGAAATGCCCTAATAAAGCCTCTTGCCTGCGTCAGTTCGTGGTTTCCTGCCGACAAGATCAGAAGAGCCAACTGGGAGGACGGCTGATGCTCTCCAGGGTCCAGGGGCCGGTAAAACAGCCGCCAGGTTCCTTCTGAGCTAATGTTAGCCTTGTGGCCACTTTGGTGGAAAATAACACTTGCCCACAAAGCCTCAATGGACTAGAACAAGCTGCTATTCTGTTTACCATTTTCAAACTGTTCACAGCTATTTTTGACTTCCCTGTATTGACTTATGTTCATCAACGTCTTGGTCCGCCCCCAAAAATAAGGGCTGGGTCCTACTCAGCTGACTTGCTGAATTACTTAGGCGATCTCTCGTTGTCTGAGTAAGATTGTCCTTAAAGTTCGGTGTCCTGGCGGTGAGTACATAGGTGACTGTGGAGCCCCATTCTTAACCTGCATGTTCTCCTGCAGTGATTTCCAGGTGGAAGGTGGTCCTGGTCGGGGTTGGCTTGACGTGCATTCCTCTTGGCACATTTCTCTCTTTCGCCCTCCAGTCATGCCTTTTCAAATTGTACAGCACTGCTGGACACAGCTGACCTCCAGCTAGAGCACTTCCCAATTCTCGGTGTCTATGCCAGAGTTTTTAAGGTTGGTGTTGAGCCCATCTTTAAATCTCTTTTCCTGTCCTCCAATATTCCATTTCCCATTCTTGAGTTTGGAGTAGAGTAACTGCTTTGGGTGATCAGGCATCTGGACAACGAGGCCAGTCCAGCGGTGTGGATGGCGGAAGACCATCGCTTCAATGCTGGTGGTCTTTGCTTCTTCCAACCCGCTGACATGTGTCTGCCTGTCTTCCCAAAAGATTTGCAGGATTTTCCGGAGGCAGCGCAGATGGAATCGTTTCAGGAGTGCATATAGCGTCTGTAGATAGTCCACGTTTCGCAGACATATAGCAGGGTTGGGAGGACAATAGCTTTAAAAAGAAGCACTTTGGTATCCCTACGGATGTCCCAGTCCTCAAACACTCTCTGTTCTGTCGCACGCTGGGCCTGTAACAGCTGTACTTTTCTATAGGACGTATACTTTAAGCCCAGCACGAAGCCAGGGGAGCCTCAAAGAGAGATTCTTAGGGATTTTTTTGAAGTGATGGTCTTTAGAGTCTTTAATGATACAACAAAGTCTTTATTATGGAACAAACAACAAATCTTCAAAGGTTCAAACAACACTTCAAGACTTTAAGTCTAGTCCTCAATGGACTGGCACCTGACTTTGATTAACTAAACTTTCTCTCTCTTTTAGCCTCTCCCAGGCTGCTTTCTATCTATGCGTCATCGGTGTGGGTGCTACTACCGATTCCAAATGCATCTGGGTATTGAGTAGACCTACCAGCCGAGGCTTGAAGATATTTCAGCAGGAGTTCAGTGGATCTGTAATGCTGTCCTCCCTCCGAGAATTCTTTGAAACTTCAGGGCTGTTTTCCCTCTGTTGCTGAGGCTGAGAGGCTGTGAGCTCTCAGCCAGAGCTTCTGGGACCTTTCTCCTGGAATTTCTGTTTCTGTATCCCCGGACGTTACTTTTCCCTGGATGCTCTTGAGAAAGGAAACTTTTCTACGGGAAGAGCTGGTCTACGTCCTATAGCTTAGCTACCTTGTGTGAAACTGGCCAAAAAATGGCTCCTTTCCCTCCCAGAGCTCAGAACAAGGGGCGGACCCAAAGCTTAATTATGATGGACAGGAGCCCTGCCCTATGATTGCAAACTTTAACAGAAAGAAAATAAGCTTGGAGCTCCTGGTACAGCCGTACCAGCGCACTCTCTGCTTAATTTGGAAAAATGCTGCACTCACAGAGCTCAGGCGATGTTGTATTTCAGTATCAATGTTGACATTTGTGGAAAGGTGGCTGCCAAGGGAGCGGAAATGGTCAACATTTTCTAATATTACACCATTAAGCTGTATTAAGCTGTATTTCTGGCAATGCAGATGGGTTGTTTGGTGACTGCTGGAATAATTGCTGAATTATTGAAAGCTGAATCAAGACTTATGGTCATCCCATTGAATGAATAGGTTTACTTTGACCAGTAGAATACAGGATTAAATCTTTTCCAAGAGTGGTCCTACGGACACTTCTTTTCCCTCTCTCGGATGGCGCTTCTGTCTTATTTGTGGCCATTGTGTAAATTACAGCACCTTTTGCAAGGTGTTTGGATGAAAAACTAAAGGTTGCATTGGTTCTGACCTTTTGTTCTAACTTCAGTGTGGTCTAACCTATATGGTAAAAACAGAAACTCTTAACTCAGATAAGAGAAGGTGATGAGATAACAGCTGATGTGATGAAGTCCAGAAGGAGATGAAGATGGAAGCCAACAACTACCACTGAGAAAACTAATTTTCCTAATCTTTGTTGTTTCTGACCTTATTTGAGCACAAAACATCCATCACTGTTGCATATTTAAATGGGAAATAATTGTCTTTTCCATTGCAAACACCCTCCCTCAAAGCCTGAGAAATGACAACCCAATCTTTAAATATGTTTCACTTCCCCATCCTCTTGTTCCAATTGCCTTCTTAATTCCTGCGGTCAACTGAAAAGTGTGCCGACAAATTGAAACAGCTGGGTTTGTTCCCCCTTTTATTGCGCTTCCTTGTTAAAGAATGCCCAATTTATGGCCAGTCACTCCCTTTCTCAGAGTGGGATGGCCTTAGCTTGTGGAAACCATTATAGCATGCGCTCAGGGGTCTTGCGCACTCATAAATCCAGAAATCTGTGGGACAAGATCTTATACTGCACTTGCAAAGTTGCAAATCTATGCTCAGTGCAATTTCAGAGCAATTGCACCGGACCACTTTTCTGCTGAATTTACAGGGCAACAGATTGCATATGCACATATTAGAGTTGGTATATCTCTCCATACTATGAACAGGAAGGAAAAGAGAGTGCAAATTCTCTATTCTTTGAATCTTTGCAGAAAATCACCATGATTATAGGAGCCCCTTGGGGTGCAGTGGGTTAAACCCCTGTGCTGGTAGGACTGAAGACCGACAGGTCGCAGGTTCGAATCCGGGGAGAGCGCATGAGCTCCTTCTGTCAGCTCCAGCTCCTCATGCAGGGACATGAGAGAAGCCTCCCACAAGGATGGTAAAACATCAAAACATCTGGGCGTCCCCTGGGCAATGTCCTTGCAAATGGCCAATTCTCTCACACCAGAAGTGACTTGCAGTTTCTGACACAATAATAAAAAAAAACCATGCTTATGCATATATATATGAAATGCTTATATGGCGCAGCTAGTTAGTGCATTAAATCACTACTGACCGAGAGATCATGAGTTTGAAGCCAGTCCAGGTCGGAGTAAGCTCCCGATCATTAATAATCTAGTTTGCTGTTGATCTATGCAGCCAGAAAGACAGTTGCATCTGTCAAGTAGGAAATTTAGGTACTGCTTTAACTAATTTAACTAATTTAAATTACTAATTTAACTAATTTACAACACCATAAAACCTTCCAGCAGCGTGCGTAAGAATAAGGAAGTACTCTACAAGGACTCGTTGCCCCAAGTGGACAGTGAAGCGTCAGCTCCCCCTGTGGCCAGAATCAAGCATATCCTCATGAATCCAGAAAGTTAAATGTTAAATTGCCTCTGTGTCTGTCTATATATGTTGTATGTCTATGACATTGAATGTTTGCCATGTATATGTGCATTGTAATCCATCCTTAGTCCCCTGCGAGGTGAAAAGGGCGGAATATAAATACTGTAAATAAATAAACAGACTTGAACAGCATTTCCTAACATTTACATGACTATAAAAATTCTCTCACCAATCTCTACTCAAACTAAACATAAATCTAAAACCCAAACATACACACACACACACACACACACACATATATACACACACACGTGTGTGTGTGTGTGTGTGTGTGTGTGTGTGTGTGTGTGTGTGTATACGTTTTAAAAGAGGATTTCCTGCTTCCCTTTTGTGGGTTACTCTATAGTTTAACATTTTCCCTTCCTCTTGATTTCCAGCAAGCTATTTACTTCTGCTTTTTTAAAAACAAATGCATATCCCCGTAGTTTGTATCTCCAAACCTGTACATAAAGTCTTTTTCTTAATCTCAGATATATATTGATACAAAGGTTTCGAAGAATGTATCCAAATATTTCTCCAACATTGTTAACATCTCCATTTCTATGAGCTCTCTCATCTTCACTATCCCATGTTCTATAGTCAGTGTTTCTGTCTTTTTTCATCATTGAGCATATTGATTTTGTGCTGGCACAGCTGTACCAGAGGCTCCCACTTTATTTGCCTTGTATTAAGTGTTTGCTTGCAGCCCAAGGCTTGGGATTCTGCAGAAGGGTGGCTTCCTGTTAAAGTCTGCAGTTATAGGGCAGGCCCCCTGTCCATCATTGTTAAGTTTGGTTCTGCCCCCTGTTCAGGACAATTGAGAAGGGAAGGGAGCCATTTTCAGTTAGTCTCAGCTAGGAAAGTCAATGGCTTCAACCCTTAAGACCTCCTGGGGGAGAACAGTCTTAAGAGCATCTAAAGATTCCCAAAGGTTCCCAGGGAAACAGCCTTACAGCCCCGAGGAATTTCGGAGGGAATAACAGCTTTAAACATCAAGAACTCCAGCTAAGTGACTACAGGCCTACTGGTAGCTCCACTCGATTTTGAGACGCAGTTCATCCCGGTAGTTAATCCACATCAGTTAGGTTTAGGATCACAGTTAGCCTGGGAGAAGTTTGGAAAGGGATTTTCCTTTAGAGTAAAAGTAACAGTTAGAAGCCACCAGTTGCACAAAAGCCTGGAAGCATTTGTTTAACCTTTTGAAGACAAAAGAAGTTTCTGTTGCTTGTTCACCAATAAAAGACTTTGTTATATTTTACAAGCCCTCTTAAGACTGTTTATGGTGAAAATCCTTAAGAATTTCTCTTTGGGCCCCCTGGCTTCCCGCTGGGCTAAAGTTGCACGTCCTGTTTTAAAGGCAATTTGTTTCAAGCCCAGCACGCGACAGAACAGACTTCTTGACTCTGTTAACATGTACTGCAGTAGTTGGTCATGTCCCTTTTTTATTTGCTCATCCAGCGGTCCTGGGGATAAAAGTTCAAGCTTAAAGTTGATCCTTGCCTTAAGAATTTATTGGATTATTACATTCATCTCCAAAAATTTGGGGCTGTTTTTGCAGGTCAACCAGATATAATAGTAACCCCTTCTCTGGAGGTTTAAAAGAGAGGCCAAATGGCTATCTGTCAGGAGGGCTTCATAGGAAATCTGCTACAAAACAGGAGCTTTTTTGATGAGTTCTAGGGACAGAGAAGCCGACGGCAAAAACAGAAGAATGGCCTGCCTCGGGGAAGCATGCTTGCTCCCTCAGTGTTTAATATTTACACAAATGACCACCCCCTGCCAGAAGGGACAGAGAGTTTCATCTATGCAGATGATTGTGCCATCACCGACCAAGCAGGGAGCTTTGAAATGGTCGAACAGAAGTTATCTGAAGCTTTAGGTGCTGTTACTTCCTATTACAGGGAAAACCAGATGATTCCTAATCCATCTAAAACACAGACGTGAGCTTTTCACTTTAAGAACAGACAAGCATCTCAAGCTCTGAGGATTACCTGGGAAGGAATCCCATTGGAGCACTACAGCACACCAAAATACCTGAGAGTTACCCTGGACCATGCTCTGACTTATAAGAAACACTGCTTGACTATCAAACAAAAAGTGAGTGCTAGAAATAATATCACACAAAATCTGACTGGCACAACCTGGGAATCATAAAAAGACACAGTGAAGACATCTGTCCATGAACTTTGCTATTCTGCTGCTGAATACGCATGCCCAGTGTGGAACACATCTCAACAGATTAAAACAGCCACATTGTCACAGGATGTCTATGCAGGAGACATTTTAAGTTTAGCCTGTATTGTACCACCTGACATCTGCCAGGAAGCAGCAACGATTTAAGAAAGGACAAAGGCAGTGATATCTCCAGCCCATCCCCTGTTTGGATATCAGCCAGCACACCAATGCCTTAAATCAAGAATTAGCTTCTTCGACCAAGATGCTCAGCAAGCGAGAGTCCAAAAGTGGCAGGCTAAAACCTGGAAGGTCAATCCATGGTTGATGCCGAATGAGAGACTCCCTACTGGGCACACAGAAGACTGGATGACTTGTAAGGTGCTGAACAGACTGTGCTCTGGCACTATGAGGTGCAGAGTCAACCTTAAGAAATGGGGCCACAAAGTGGAGTCCACGACATGTGAGTGTGGAGAAGAGCAAACCACAGACCACTTATTACAATGCAACCTGAGCCCTGCCATATGCACAATGGAGGACCTTATTACAGTGACACCACAGGCACTCCAAGTGGCCAGCTACTGGTCAAAGGACATTTAGTATAATGCCAAGTTTTTCACTTTGTATTTTTAAATACATTATAATTGTACCTTCAATTCACTTCTGACATGACAAATAAAGGAGGGCTTGGTTCGTATTTTCCTGCCCGACAGATGGGGCTGAATTTTATTTCATTGTTGGTCCAAGATTCATTGCACAAAACTTCAGACTTCTATTGTACAAAACTTAGAACTCCTGCTTATAAAACTAGCCAGAAAAGGTTTTGTTATTTTGTGGCTTTTGGGGGATGCGCTTGCTGGGCTTTGCACAGAAAAGTACTACGATTTCTTACAAACAAAACAAAACACCTGGCTACCTGAAAATAGTGTTGTTTATGAAAATAACCACAAATTGCATACACAAACATGTTTCTGTGAAGAACAATTTCCTGAAATTGTTGTTGCTGTGTGTCTCAAAGGTGGCTTCTTGTTCTCCAGACTCTTGATAGTTTTAGTCGCCCTCCTCTGGACACATTCCAGCTTGTCAACATCTCCCTTGAATTGTGGTACCCAGAATTGGACACAGTGTGACCAAGGCAGAATACAAGGATACCATGACTTCCCTGGATCTACGAGGGTTGGAACTTTAATAGTGGCCATTTACTTACATATAATACAAAAATGATACATGCCACCAAGTTTTACAGTCCTTCAATATAGTCACCAGCATTGTGTACAACCAGTTTCCAATGATGTGGAAGTTGTAGGACACCTGTTGCAGTGCCTGTTCTGTTGATAGTTCAAATCGAGCAGCCTACTGCCGCAAGGATCTCTGGAACAGTTCTGAAGCGAATGCCATGAAGTGGTTCTTTCATCTTAGGAATTAAGTCAAAGTCACAAGGGCTTAAATCTGGGGAGGATGGTGGATGGTACAGCACTCCCCGGCCCCATCGATTGAGGAAATCAGCCACAGCTTGTGCTGCGTGTGGCCGAGCATTGTCATGCAAAATGAAAGGGGTGCTCTGCAGAAAGTGTCACCATTTTTTTTTCTCAAAGCTGGTCTGAAATAGTGTTCCAAAAATGAGCAGTAATACTGTGCATTGGCAGTCTAATGTGGGGAACGGTATGCGTTAGGATGACACCATCACAGTCGTACACAAGAATCACCATAACTTTCACATTGCTGGGGTTCTGATGAAATTTCAAACTTTGTGATGACCAATGTATTGTCGAAGGTTTTCATGGCCAGAATCACTGGGTTGTTGTAGTTTTTTCGGGCTATATGGCCATGTTCTAGAGGCATTTTCTCCTGACGTTTTGCCTGCATCTATGGCAAGCATCCTCAGAGGTAGTGAGGATCCTCACTACCTTTAAGGATGCGTGCCATAGATGCAGGCAAAACGTCAGGAGAAAATGCCTCTAGAACATGGCCATATAGCCCGAAAAAAACTACAACAACCCAACTTTGTGATGACCCATAATGACGCCATTCGTTCGGTTGGCATTTCAGTTCTGGCTGGTATGATCTGGCCCAAGTCTCATCCAGCATAATGATATAGCATAAGAAAGTCTCTCTTTCACACTCATAGCGCTCCAAGTGGGTATGAGCAGCATCGTATCGTAGCCATTTCTGCATTTCCGTCAAATGATGTGGTACCTATCATGAAGCAGTTTTTCTCATGTCCAGGTGTTCTTTCAGAATGTGAAGAACAGTCATAAGCGCAAATCCTGTGTTTTGGGCCAGCTCACGAATCGTATGACATCGATCATTGTCTACGAGTGTGGCAACAGCATTCGCTTCCACTTCACTGACACTAGGACGACCTGGCCGATACATGTCTGCCACATTTTGGCATCCTTTGTTGAAGGCTTTTACCCACCTTGCCACTGTTCTGCAAGGCAATGCAGATTCCCCACAAGCCTCTTGAAGACCTTGATGACACTGTCGTGCTGTACGACCTCTGGCACATTAATTCTTTATCCAACTCCGATGTTCTTGTTTCAAAAACATCATCACAACACCTACTTTAGACCTCAAGCTAAAACAAGGCTCAGTTCTTCACGTCACTCTGCATGCACGTGACATAGAAAGGGCAAGTCTTTTTGCTCAGAGGTTTATTTATTTATTTGTTGTGTCAGGGCAACCAGTCAATTGTATTACATTTCTAACAGAACAAAAAAACAAACAGACAAAACACAACATTTGCAAGCTTGATAGTTGATTAAATGTCCTTCAACCAGTATCTGGCCACTTGGAGTGCTTCTGGTGTTGCGGCAAGAAGGTCCTCCCTTGTGCATGTGGCAGGGCTCAGGGTGCATTGCAGCAGGTGGTCAGTGGTTTGCTCTTCTCCACACTCGCATGTTGTGGATTCCACTTTGTGGCCCCATTTCTTGAGGTTGGCTCTGCATCTCGTGGTGCCAAAGCACAGTCTGTTCAGTGCCTTCCAAGTCGCCCAGTCTTCTGTGTGTCCGGGGGGAGTCTCTCATTTGGTATCAGCCATTGGTTGTGGTGCTGGGTTTGAGCCTGCCACTTTTGGACTCTCGCTTGCTGAGGTGTTCCAGCGAGTGTCTCTGTAGATCTTAGAAAACTATGTCTAGATTTAAGTCATTGACGTGCTGGCTGATACCCAAACATGGGATGAGCTGGAGATGTCTCTGCCTTGGTCCTTTCACTATTGGCTGCTACTTCCCGGAGGATGTCAGGTGGTGCAATACTGGCTAAGCAGTGTAGTTTCTCAGAGGTAAAGTAGGTATATAACTAACATGTGGTATATGCAACATTCTTTGGTTTTGTTGGATGGCATCTTTACAGCAGTGTTTCCACTATTAAAGTTCCAACCCTCATAGACACTAGACTCCTATTTATGCAGGCCAAAATCCCATTGACTTTTTTGTGCTGTTGCATGACATTGTTGGCTCATGTTTAACTTGTTGTCCACGAGGGCTCTTTTTCACACGTACTGCTGTTGAGCCAGGCGTCCCCCATTCTGTATCTTCGCACTTCATTTTGTTCTGCCAAAGACTGTGTTTTGTATGGGTCGGTGCATAGAATCTGTCAGGGCTTAGGACCCAGTGTGGCTCGTCGAGCATCTTCTTCCCTTTCCCTTTCAGGCCAGGGCTATGCCTTAGTGGGAGGAGGGAGCATCCAGGGCTGGCTGGCATGAATGAGACTGAAATTCTAGTGTGGAAAGCCTCAAAGTGGAATACTACTGCGGTCTCCAAGCAACGGCCTTGACGCAACCAAAGAAGAGGTCTCCTTGAATCAAAAAGCAATGCACAGTTGCACACCCATTTTCCAAAAGCCAGACAGACACAGACACTAACCTGGAGGTAGGGAGGGAGGGAGGGAGGGAGGCATGCAGCATCACTCAGTTGCAGTTCTGCAGGGGGTCAAGTTGGAGAACCCAGTGAAGAATCGCATCCCCAGAATATGAATGCAGAAGCCTTTCCATCTAGGCAAAGCTTGGTAAGTTACCTTTATCTCTTCCCAACATGTCCACACCCATCCAGGCAAGGATGCAATTCAGAGTTTTCCTAAGCAAGTTGGTAGTTATTTCGGTTCGAGTGTGTTCCTTCCTAGCCTGAGCTCATTCACAAAATAGAGACTTGTATATATTTACACATCAGGTTGGAAACTAGCAATTTGGATGGAAATTGTAGCCTTCTGTTGCAGGCGAGGCTTTGAAACAAGTCTCATTTTCTTCATAGAATGGAAATACATTTGGGTTTGCGAACCTAGGGGTGTTTTTGGAAAGGTTGGACCAAATGTGCTTATTTATTGCCTATGTTTATTATCGTATTGTTGAAAGCTTTCATGGCCAGAATCACTGGGTTGTTGTGAGTTTTCCGGGCTGTATGGCCATGTTCCAGAAGCATTCTCTCCTGACGTTTCGCCTGCATCTATGTTTATTATTGTTTGGACCAAATCTGCTACGATTCGCTCCTCAATGAACAGCACTCCTTGCGAAAACAGATACTAAGAGCAAATTGTAATGATTTCCAAAAGCCATCTTACGAGAGAACGTACCCAGATTTGGAAAAATGACCACCTCCCGGAAAATAATAAGAGCGAAGATGTGTGTGTTGTGGGTTGTTGTAGGTTTTTCGGACTATATGGCTATGTTCTAGAAGCATTCTCTCCTGACACTTCGCCTGCATCTATGGCAAGCATCTCAGAGGTTGTGCCATCTTATGAGAGAAGGTACCCAGATTTGGAAAAATGACCACCTCCCGGAAAATAATAAGAGCGAAGATGTGTGTTGTGGGTTGTTGTAGGTTTTTCGGACTATATGGCTATGTTCTTGAAGCTTTCTCTCCTGACACTTCACCTGCATCTATGGCAAGCATCCTCAGAGGTTGTGAGGACCTCACAACCTCTGAGAATGCTTGCCATAGATGCAGGCGAAACGTCAGGAGAGAATGCCTCTAGAACATGCCCATATAGCCCGAAAAACCTACAATTACCCAGTGATTCCAGCCATGAAAGCCTTCGACAATATATTGATGTGTGTTGTGTTTGAATAGCACAGATGAACCCAGAGAAGGCAGAAAGAGGTAAAATGACTTGAAGGAGGTGAACCAAATCAACATGTGATATCTGGCTTATTGAAAAAGGACAATAAGAAGCAAGATTTCAATGAGGGCAAGTGTAGGGTATTCCAGATATGAGATCAAGGAGTGGCCTTTTGCAACATGAAACACCCCTGGATTTCTCTCTAAGAGCATTAAATAGATCAGTGGTGCTCAACCTGCCAAATGCCATGACCCCTTAATACAGTTCCTCGTGTTGTGGTGACCCCCCAACCATAAAATTATTTTTGTTGCTACTTCATAACTGTCATTTTGCTACTGTTATGAATTGCAATGTCAATATCTGATATGCAGGATGTATTCTCATTCACTGGACCAAATTTGGCACAAATGCCCAATACTCCCGAATTTAAATACTGGTGGGGTTGGGAGTGGGGTTGATTTTGTCATATGGGAGCTGTAGTTCCTGGGATTTGCAGTTTACCTACAATCAAAGAGCATTCTGAACTCCACCAATGATGGAACTGAACCGGACTTGGCACACAGAACTCCCATGGCCAACAGAAAATACTGGAATGGTGTAGTGGGCATTGACCTTGAGTTTTGGAGTTGTAGTTCACCTACATCCAGGGAGAACTGTGGACTCAAACAAAAATGGATCTGGACCAAGCTTGGCACAGATACTCAATATGCCCAAATGTGAACACTGGTGGAGTTTGGAGGAAACAGACCTTGGGCATCACAATTCAAGAGAGATATTGACAAGCTGGAATGTGTCCAGAGGAGGGCGACTAAAATGGTCGAGGGTCTGGAGAACAAGCCCTATGAGGAGTGGCTTAAGGAGCTGGGCATGTTTAGCCTGAAGAAGAGAAGGCTGAGAGGAGATATGATAGCCATGTATAAATATGTGAGAGGAAGCCACAGGGAGGAGGGAGCAAGCTTGTTTTCTGCTTCCCTGGAGACTAGGACACGAAACAATGGCTTCAAACTACAAGAAAGGAGATTCCATCTGAACACGAGGAAGAACTTCCTGACTGTGAGAGCTATTCAGCAGTGGAACTCTCTGCCCCGGAGTGTGGTGGAGGATCCTTCTTTGGAAGCTTTCAAACATAGGCGGGATGGCCATCTGTCAGGGGTGATTTGAATGCAATATTCCTGCTTCTTGGCAGGGGGTTGGACTGGATGGCCCATGAGATCTCTTCCAACTCTATGATTCTATGATTCTATGATTTGGGAGTTGTAGTTGCTGGGATTTATAGTTCAACAATCAAAGAGCATTCTGATCCTGTCAATTATAGAATTGGGCCAAACTTTTCACACAGGACCCCCATGACCAACAGAAAATACTGTGTTTTCTGATGGTATTTGGCGACCCCTCTGACACTCTCCTCACGACCCCCCCCCCAAACTCCCAGGTTGAGAAACGCTGAAATAGATCAATCTCTCAACTCTTCCTCTGTTGTGATAGGAATTTTAAAGAAATAATTCTATGTATTTAAGGACTCACATATACGTCCACATTGTTAGATTAGATCTCTCTCTCTCTTTCCTGCCTTTTCCTTTGAAAGCTTATTGGAAAACACTACATTTCCACTATCTTTCCAGTTCACTTTGTTTAAACGTAAGCCTTCTCTTCTCCTCACAACTCTCCTTTTGATTGTAAATTTACTTTTAAAAAAATGAATGAAACCATAGTCCAGAATTCCTATGCTTTGTTAAGAGGTTTGGAGGAACCCATTTAAAGGAGGACAATCCAAATATCTCCCTCCAAATGGAGATATCTTAATGGTTGGTTCCAAAGATGGGCACCAAAGGAGGTGAATCGAAGGACAAGCTTTCTGGGGCTATACTATATTTTTTCAAGGAGGTTTAAACTGCTGAGCTGCTGAATTTGCTGACCAAAAGATTGGCTGTTCGAATCCGGGAAGCGGGGTGAACTCCTGCTGTTAGCCCCAGCTTCTGCCAACCTAGCAGTTTGAAAACATGCAAATGTGAGTAGATCAATAAGTACTGCTTCAGCGGGAAGGTAACGGCACTCTATGCAGTCATGCTGACCACATGACCTTGGAGGTGTCTACAGACAAAGCCGGCTCTGGCTTAGAAATAGAGATGAGCACCAACCCCCAGAGTTGGACATGACTGGACTTAATGTCAAGGGAAAACATTTACCTTCGGCCGGAAGGTAATGGCACTATGCAGTCATGCTGACCACATGACCTTGGAGGTGTCTACGGACAAAGCCGGCTCTGGTTTAGAAATGGAGATGAGCACCAACCCCCAGAGTTGGACACAACTGGACTTAATGTCAAGGGAAAACTTTTACCTTTAGGACCCAAATGAAATCACTTGAAGTATCTGAAGATGCATTGGGATCAGCTTCCAAAAATCCGGATCTACCCATTTCCTTGAAGGAAAAGTTAGAGGCTCTTACAAAATGTGTTTTAAATGGATGCTTCCCAAGTTATTGTCCCACTGGGTTGTTGTAGGTTTTTTCGGGCTGTATGGCAATGGTCTAGAGGCATTCTCTCCTGATGCTTTGCCTGCATCTATGGCAAGCATCCTCAGTGTAACTGGTTAAGTGGAGAAAAACCAAGAAAGCCAAAAGGGCTTTAAAACTTTGAGTGCATCTACATTTGTAGAAATAATGCATTCTTGTTGTTGTTGTTCATTCGTTCAGTCGTCTCCGACTCTTCGTGACCTCATGGACCAGCCCACGCCAGAGCTCCCTGTCGGCCGTTACCACCCCCAGCTCCCTCAAGGTCAGTCCAGTCACTTCAAGGATGCCATCCATCCATCTTGCCCTTGGTCGGCCCCTCTTCCTTTTGCATTCTTATACCACTTTAAATGCCATGGTTCAGTACTATGATATCCTGGGAGTTGTAGTTTTGTGGTCTTTAGCCTTCTCTGCCAAAGGGTCCTGGTGCCTCACCAAACAACAAATCCCAAGGTTCTATAGCAATAGTTTTCAACTTTCCTAATGCCGCGACCCCTTATACAGTTCCTCATGTTGTGGTGCCCCCCAACCATAAAATTATTTTGTTGCTACTTTATAACTGTAATTTTGCTACTGTTATGAATTGTCATGTAAATATCTGATAGGCAGGATGTATTTTTATTCACTGGACCAAATTTGGCACCAGTACCTGATATGCCCAAGTTCAATGCTCACCAAAACCTTCCACTATTTTCTGTTGGTCATGGGAGTTCTGTGTGCCAAGTTTGGTTCAATTCCATTGTTGGTGGAGTTCGGAATGCTCTTTCATTGTAGGTGGACTATAAATCCCGGCAACTACAACTCCCAAATGTCAAAGTCTATTTCCCCCAAATTCCACCAGTCTTCACATTTGGGCATATTGGGTATGCGTGCCAAGTTTGGTCCAGATCCATCATTATGTGAGTCCACAGTGCTCTCTGGGGGTAGGTGAGCTACAACTCCAAAATTAAAGGTCAATGCCCACCAAACCCCTCCAGTATTTTCTGTTGGTCATGGGAGTTCTGTGTGCCAAGTTTGGTTCAATTCCATCATTGATGGAGTTCAGAATGCTCTTTGATTGTAGGTGAACTATAAATCCCAGCAACTACAACTCCTAAATGACAAAATCAATCACCCCCAACCCCACCAGTATTTATTTATTTATTTATTTACTCACTATATTTCTATCCTGCCTTTCTCAACCCCAATGGGGACTCAAGGCTCAAGTCACCGAGAGGGATTCAAATCAATCCCCCAACAACCCCACCAGTATTCCAATGTGGGTGTATTGGGTGTTTGTGCCAAATTTGGTCCAGTGAATGAAAAAACATCCCACATATCAGATACTTACATTACAATTCATAACAGTAGGCAAAATTACAGTTTTGAAGTACCAATAAAAATAATGTTATGGTTGGGGGTCACCACAACATGAGGAACTATATTAGGGGGTTGGAACTATA